CTTTTTAAAGCCAACACATGGAAATATTAAGCATAGTTTGAAGGATATATGGTTATATTGAGAATGGGAATAGAAAAAGGCGTTAAGCTACATTAATATTCTTTATAACTTCTTTAAAAACTTGCCATTTTATATATTTTCTGACTTAGTTAAGTTTATCCTACAAGTCTATCTTTCAAGGGAAGCACTCAAATTGCTTTAAAAAGCCTAGATTAACTTCCTAAAAGCTTTGGCTTTTTGATTTTCTGTGCGAGGTCCCCATGGGCCCCCTAAAATCGAATCAATAAACCACTAGAAACCGAAAATTTTTCGGAAAACAGTTTCACTATGGCACAATCCACGTTCTGGCAACTCATCCTATGTGGTTAGCTCGGCATTATTGTCCAGCGTAATCACATTATTTGTGCAACGCCGTGCAGTACATAGATCGGGGAATTCCCCTTGAACTTTTTGTGAATGTCATGAGCTGGCAGTTCGCTCACCTCAATTCCCATTCGCCGGTGCGACACACACTGAGCACACTGAGAGAAAAGTCTATAAAAGGTATATATTACATAAAATATAAAACAAAATATTTATAACAATTAACTCGACAAAATAATTAACTTTCCACTTTCTGTTAATATTAAATTTCCACAGAAAATATTCCCATCCTTAACAAAGACCCTTCCAAGAACCTTTAGTACGAATTCGTTTTCAAATTTCCATGTAATAAAATTGTGTGTACTAAGTACATTTCTTTGAGTGCGCCCACTTCCCCCCAGCGTCAAATATTATCTTAGCCAAGCCCCAAAGAGCCAGAGAACACCAAAGAGCCAAAAGAACTATAAGCACGGGGAAATGGGGTAACGGGAAACGGGGGAGAGTCGAGTGAGTGACAGGCAATAAAAATGGGAGGTGACACTGCCACAGCCACTTCCGGAAAAGCCGGAAATGTTTCTGGACGCGATGGCGGTTGGCGGGGGTTCCGGAAGGGGTGGTGCCCCAGGCAAACCGAGGGCCGTAGCCGTATGCTATGCAAATAATTTAATTAATATTTTATTTCGGACACCCTCGGCCGAGTCGAGTCGGAAGAAAATTGGATTTTTATTTACATTTTTGCACTTACTTGAACCCGCCCGAGGCTTGTGAATGAATGGCTCCGAAAGCGGGAATGGTCATTGAATGAAGGAAATGAAGAAAATGCACAATAAAAACAGATGTGAGCGTAAATTAAATCTCAGCATTCACGAATGTATATATATTCCCATATATAGACAGATGCGTTGGCATTGGCCTGCAGTCAAAAACTGTGAGAACATGAAAAAAAGTTTCGGTCGAAATCAACTTACGCCTGTAAACAGTAAACAGTAAACAGTAAACAAATCGGTGGGATAAATATATATATCTGCATATATGTAGTATCTGCAGAGATAGCTCAGACAGTTAGTTGCTCGTAAATCGGTGGGGATTATGTGCGCTAATAAAAGTTTAAGACGTTCGAGAAAAATATACAGAGAGAGAGCATTTGAACGAGGAAGCGCTTTAAAGTTTTCAAATATTACGCATACGCCCTGTGTGCAAAAGGTAATTACTGCGTACAGCACCGAATGATGATGATTAATGGTTGAGCTGAGTCAAGTGAAAAGCAGAGCTAGCTCTTGACTTTTCATAAGTGATTTTCGCTAATAGGTTTAAAGACCAGACATCTTTATAGTATATATGAAAAGTCAAAGAGATATAGTAATTAATTTTAATATTATTTAAGGAACATTAAGGTTGTTACTCATCCTGGGATCTCGATAGTTTATAAAAACATACAAAAAGTATGATAAAATTCGTAGCATCTCTTTGTAATTAAATTCTTTGACATCGTGAAAAATAATCTCATTTATTTTAAAACTTACCACCTGGTTTTCGCCTGCCACCTGCTCCACTCTTATCATGATAAAGAACTATATATATATATATATATATATTCTCTCTGATGGATAAGATCCCTCCTCCCGTGCGGCTGTCAGTTATAATTAAATTTGACTGTATTATCGTGACGGTGTCTGGAATAACTCTTTTTTCACAGTTGGGCTCTTTATCGTGTGCGTATATGTACATATTTACACCCAGAAGTCATGTGTCTGTTGACACTTCTGGCCCCAAGGTCACTGCCGAAATAATAATCATAAAAAAAGCCGCACAAGAACATACAAAAAATCAAGAAAAAGCTGAGCAAATTTCGGTGACAGTAGATTGCAATAAATAATAAATTATAAGAGTTAATGCGAGCAATGAGCACGGAGAGAGACGGAGGGATTCATCACACGGATGTGAGGATATATGTTATATATGGGTTCTATAAAGTCTCGCGTGATGCGCCATCGTTGTGGAAATTTTTGGGGGTTCGGAAAAGCGTGGAAAACGGGGAAACCCCTGGCAACTTTCTGGCACATTGCGTTGCCAACACGCACGCCAGTCATTCTGCTTACTTCTGAGTTTTCTCACATTTTTTTTCTGTTTCCCACTAGCAACCCCCGATTTCTTTTTTGTTTTTGAAGTGAAAAACCTTTATTCTTTCGTTTTGCTGGTAACTTTTTTGTGCAGCGACAACAGAGGAAAGTAAGTTTCTCAAGTGATTGAATTGAATTGGATTGGATAAATTTGCCAGCGTGAAAAACTTTAAATTTGCAATGATTGAAGGCATTGCCGCTCGGTTGTCGATGAACTGTCAAACTTGAGATGTTTGTACATTAAGGAGAAAAGTTTGAAGGCATAAAGATTTAAATGCAATGAATTTATTAATCATTTTTTTAGTAATTTATTACTACAAAATATTATCAGTTCCGCAAACCCACTTCTTAGCCAGGTGAAGCTAATCATTGGTCGTGTAATCCCTTAAGTTTTCCAGCGGTTGAAGTTGAATTTTCCAGGGCATTATGCAAACATTGTCGGTTTTTATTGACAGACTTTAAAGTTTTGGTGGAAGTTTTCGCCGTACAACTTTTGGACGTAGGCTAAGCTGCGTTGGTTTTTGGGACACGTCCTGGAAGGATGCTGCTCAATATTCATGTTCTCCTCGTTCGGCGAATGCAAATCAACATTCTTTAAGCTCACAAAAGTTTTATTGGGGCCAGCAATCAGGATTCTGGCGGGGAGTCCTTAAGAAGTAGTTCGAGGTCTGGCGAACTTCTTCAAACTTGTTAATGTTTGATAAGGCATTGATGGAGAGCACTGAGTGAGGAAGCAGGGAATTGGTAATTTCAATTCTAATTTAAATTGTAATTTGAAATCTACTTGTAATTTAAATAAAAGTTTGAGCTTTTATTGGTTGTGGTTGTGATAAAATATTAGCTTTAAAAAGAATTACAAATTTATTTCGTATTGCAACATTTAATATATCTTCTAATTAAATTCTTTGAGCTACTTCACCTTTATGTTTAATAATTTATTTCATATACATATATTATATTTGTGCAGCTTTAATAAAAATATATATGCCAAATTATTGGCCATTTGCCTGCCGCAAGCTGCGTATCAAATTGTCAAACTGTCAATGCTTCGATAAGCAATTGTGAACGCATTTTGCGGTCAAAATAGGATTAATATAATACCAAAACAAACGAAATAATTGCACTCATAATTATATGTCAATTATTTACAATTTTAATTGGATGTACAGACATACATAGGTTCCAGGAATGCGTGGCAATGCATCTGAAATCTGTCAGAATTAGGCGAATATTTCCCGCAAACTCCCACAAGAACATCCTTTATGCAAATTCATGGCCCCACAACAAATCTCCGTGAGACAAACACATAAATTCCGTTGAATTTCAATTACTCAGGGCAGTGATTACGTACTCAAGGTCCAGAATATCCGGAGCAGGTGTCAATGGTCAGGGGAAAGCAACAAGAACACCCACAGTCACATTCCCAGGTGTCCGGACACAAAAACAAAAACAAAAGAGAAAAACAAACCTTTAATCGGAACTGAACGCCCTCTGTTATCATCGTGTTTTCACCATATGCTTTGCTGGGTGGAAAATGGGAAATGCGCTGGCAATCTTTTGCTGGAAAAACTCCCATCTGCCGTCAGCACAATTAACATTTTTTATGAGCTGTAAAATTTCTCAAATTTGATGAATTTATGCGTCCAGCAGCACAAATTCAAAATATACAGAGTGAGAATGTGCAACAATCAAAACAATAAAGGCCAAGGTAGAACATATCCGTACGTAAATATACTCTTTCTCTCTCCTCTGTGTGTCTGTGTGCAAACATTTTCTATTTTCGCTGAGTTTGGATAATTTTGGGACTTGCAGGCAATGGATTTAATGGCAGATTTATGATATAATTTATGGAGAGATATACAAGTTTAGTTTACCAATTTATGTTACCGGATAATAATTTATAATTATAGTCATTACTTTATCACTATAACTTGTAGTTATCTTTAAGGAACAGATGTTTATAATTAATAGAAAATAAAGAAAATATATTCCTTTAATAAAAGTCATATTTACAAAAGCTTAGATAATATTTGTTCTTTGATGTTGATAGGTATATAAAAGGAATAGTCTTTTAAATTAATTTAAAGCTATAAAATGATTAAAAATAGTTCTTAAAAAACACCTTGTGTTATACAGAAATAGATGTCTAAATTAGAATTATTTACACCATGCACAAAAGTCGATCAATTTAACATCTGCAAAATGTGTTGCTCATAAAATGTATACCTAAAATGTGTCTGCCTACGTATATTCATAGACATCTTGTCGACAAAAGTGTGGGCAAAGATTTTTCCTGATATTCCGTTGGATTTTTTCTGATCGGTATAATTTGCTTTATTTTTATGGTCGGATAATTTGCATTTTTAATGCCATTAAAAATTCATAATTGGAAAATAATGGGCCTGAAGAAATAGGGCGAGTGGGAAATTCGGCATTCAAAGGGGGAAAAAATTTTGAAGAAACTCTGACTAAATTCGTATCTCCCCTTTCACTGTCTCTTTTTCTCTCGTTTTACAGGGCGAAAAATGGAAAACTGAAAGCAGGGAACTCGAAACCGATAACGGGAAACCCAAAAACAAAGTCGGCCTGAAGTAAAATGTCAGCTGTGTTAGTGCAAAAAGCGTCGCCCGAATCTCAACTCAACAATTTGGAGGAGCAATCACCGGAAGTGGACGTGGCACAGTTGGCAACCATATCGCTGCTGCTGCAATACGATATCGACAACACGCTGAATGCTCTCAAGGAGCACCAGAAGATGACCCTCGACGCTCGCCTGGGCATGCCCGAAATGCCCATAGTCCTTAATAACAACCAGGACGCCGCTGCCGCCAAAAAGGATAAAGACATCAACCGGAATATGCCCGGTAGTCCCAGTACCGAACTGGAGGAGGTGGAGCAGATGGCACTGGACGGCAAGGTGGCATCGAATCCCTTTATGCCACCCACTCCGCCGGCCACGCCCAACCTGCAGAATACCGCCCAAAAGCGCTGGAAGATCCTGGCCAAGGTGCTGCGCAAGGATTCCGAGGAGACGGTTTCATCTTCGAGCGATGAGTTCGCCGAAGAGCAAACTGCCTCTGTGCGCCGCTTCAAGAGCTTCGATCTGCTGCGCCAGGACAGCTTCGAGGATCATGTGAGCCTCAAGTGCTTGGGAAAGACAGAGAACTGGTACAAATACCGCATGGCGTTGGAGAACGACATGGAGTACTCAGTGAACATCCATCATATGGAACGCCAGCTGACGGCCAGCGATCTGATGGGCTTCAATAACACCGGCAACATTTGCGTGTGGCCCTCGGAGGAGGCTCTGACCGCTTTGGTCCTTTCTGAGGTGTCATCGTACCGCGGCAAATGGATCCTGGAGCTGGGTGGAGGATTCACCTCACTCGCGGGTCTGATGCTGGCCAAGTACGCCACTCCATATGCCGTCCACCTGACCGATGGCAATGAGATCTCGGTGGAGAATGTCCGCAAGACCGTCTGCCTCAACGAACTGAGTTGCTACACCAAGTGCTCGGTGCTCAAGTGGCAGGAGAAGGGTGCCCGTTCCCAGGCGGAGCAGGGCAAATTCGACTCCATTCTCTGTGCCGACTGCCTGTTCTTTGATGAGGCCCGCTCGGCGCTGGTGGACACCATCTGGTATTACCTGGCACCTCAAGGATCTGCCCTGATAATGGCCCCACGACGGGGACGCACTCTGAGCGTGTTCCAGGACGAGTGCGTGGCCAGGGGATTTCGTGTGGAGTTGGCCACGAGGTACAATGAGACCATCTGGCAGCGGCATCTCCAGCTGAAGGCGGACTCCGCCCTCTACGACGAGGACCTGCACTATCCGCTGCTCCTGCGGCTGTGCAAAGAGCACAGCTAGGAGAAGCTGGCACTAGGTGCAATTACATTTTAAATTTTAGTCAATGTTTTAGTTGATAGCAAGCAAATTCCAGTTTACACCTTAAACAAAAGCGAGGCCAACGGCTGGCCTCGGCGAACAAAAAGAAATTCCTCCCACACCGAAAAACGGAAATGTAGCAAATCAAATTCATTAGGCTGGTGCTAAAATTAACGTGAAATGTACAAAGCCAACACATTTTTGGTTATAAATTTATTCGCTTTATTGGTTGGCAAAAGAAAGAAAAAAAGGAAACATTAGAAAAACAGACAAGTCTGTGAGGGAATGCAATGTTTTAAATAATTAATTTTTAGTTTATTGATTGAACAATTGAATAATATCATTCCATTTGAAAGCGAAATTAAATCGACTTGAAAAACTAAAGGCTTGTGTGCAAGCTTTCATTAAAATGTTTCAATAATTTGGCCATCATTTTAATTATTAAATTAATTTTTTAGAATGGTATTATTTTTGTATATTTTGAGTTAAGTTTGTAGAGATATGTAAGTTAAAGCATCAACTGCACACTTTACTGTATTCGAAATGGATAAATTTAAAAAATAATGGAAAAACGTAACCCTGTTAAAGGATATCAATCAATATATTTTCCTGTTGTCCAAATCTGTATTCAAGTAAATGGATAAAACAGCGATTGGGAGTGATTTTTTGCATCAAAATCGATAATACTCAAGGGGACATTTCTATGAAACTACATACATAATCACAGCTTTAAGGCACCAGTCTAGTGACCACCTTTAGCACGTAGTTCACTGTTAAGTTGTGTAACAAAAACAAAAAACAATTCCTTTTGATATGTAAATCTGATTTGCGTTGATTCCACAAAAAACACCAACACAAACACAAACAAGTTTTGTAACTATATATATTTTATTTTTGTTTTTACAAATACTCCTCGTTATGTATGTTGCACAACCAAAAAACCCACAAAACACACAAACACACACAAGTATTATTTAAATTTAATGTACACGCTGACTAGCATACTTTTGGGGCAACCTTCGTGGAAAAACTGAGATTAGAGAGAACACCCTCAACCGGAGGCGAATGAGTTTCCCGAAGCCATAAACCCGGGAAAAGAACGTGGCCAGCGCTCGACCAATTAATTAATAGTTAACTAAACTTAGTGTACTGTAATTACCTAGAGCATGTGTTAATGGTTATATGACGATGACATAAATACAGTATCAGAATGCCACATATACAATATATACATATGGTGAACTTGTTTAACTTTCGCTCAACTGGCACGGGAGTTGTCACTACTGCAATGATGTCAACGGTAATTACCATCAAAGCGGATGAGCAAACATATTGTCAGAGTTATTAGCGGGGTGTTCATTAGAGGACAGGATGATGATTCGAGTGATTCGAATATTACGAATGATACGAGTGAGTGCAGAAGGAAGTCGGCGGCAATCAGGCGCTTTTTTTATTGCGATTGCGACAGGGGCTAGGCAATTACTTTAACAGTGCCAGCAGTTCCAGAGACGGGAATTCGACGACGTCAGCAGGAAGTCCATGATGTTGTAATGCCAAAGGATACCCTTCTACCCAAAGGTTGTTCCTGCGAGGGGTAAGCTACAGAAAGAAGTGATAAAAGGACCTTTATTTGTAGAAATATATGAAACAAAAATTGTATTTCTTTCAAGAAACAGTCAAGAAATAAATTATAAAAAATAAATATCAAAATTAATTTCTAAAGTATATGATACACCCTTTCAAGCCAGAAGCTTGTAACGCTTGAAGGAGTCATTTTCGACCCTATAAATCATATATATTCTTGATCAGCATCGATAGCAGAGTCGATCTAACCATGCGCAGTCAAAAAGTACATTTTCAAAAATTTCCCAAAATTTTTCATTAAAATTTGAAAAAATTGGCAAAATTTTGAATTTATTAAAATTATAAAACAAGTATGCAAATTTTTTTAACTAATAAAAACTAACACAGAAAACCTTTCCGAATTAAAATTAATCCTTTTTTGGCAAGGTTATGAGGTATTTAAAATGTGAGATATCGAATATTTTGCCATATACAACATTGATAGATATTTATTAGTAAGTAAAATATCATCAAATAAAAATGAATAGGATGCGAATACTTTAAGTTTATTTGTGATAAATTTTTGATACGATTCTATAATTCCTAAGGTAGTTTTTTCCTTGTTTAAATTGGTTTCAAAACCACATCTACAAACTCACTTATTTTACTAATTATTTTTCATTATTACAGGGCATTCTTAAGTCTCCTTACTTTTCCTAAAACACTCTGCTTGTATTGTATGGCAGCTGACAAAAAAATCAAAAATGAAAATAAAAATAAATCTGATAAGCGAAAATTACAAAGTAAACTCAACAGCATGGCGGACGCACACAAAGTTGCCTTTTCGGTTTGGTGTGTGTGTAATTGTGGGTGTGCGTAAATGTTTGAGTGTGCGATTGTATATGTGTGCGTCATTAACGAGGTCATTGGTAAGTAAGCTTGTTTGATGTGCCCTAGACATGTAATCCTGGCTAGGAACGGCATGGCGAGGGGAAAGGGAAGTCAAACAAACGCAGCCAAAAAGGAGGCGGCCGACAGGCGACACCAGTGCTAACCACCATAAATTAACAAAAGAATAAGTTTCATTATATAATAAAACAATTATTTATTGGCATTACAAAATTATTAAGGTGAAAAGAAAATAAGTAGTTGAATTGTACTAGCAATAGAGCCTAAAAAGGAAATAGAAATTGACAAGAAGATAGTAAATATTGATTATTTTTCTAAGGTCTTTTAAAACTTAGAAGATTATTTATTTTTATATACTTTATATACTTATAATATATTAAGAGTTTTTGGAAAAATATTAGAAATATAACAAATATTCAAGGAAGAGGTAAATATAAAGGCTTTTTGTCTTAACAAATTATGGAAAATAATTTAAAAAAATATATAAAACCTTTAGAATTCTTATTCCCTATAAGTAATTACAAAACTTCAGCTATAAATAAGCCAACTAACCACTTGCGCTCCCCGACGACCAGGAACGTTGCGCATACGCCGCGTGTGTCACGCGTTGGCATGTAAATTTCGCCGCCCTGCAACGCCCCTGCTGTCCTGCTCTGGAGGGCTGCTAATGACATGAGACCGGGACCAAGGCAATGCCACAGTGAAACCGAGACCGAGAAGCGTAGAGCTTGGACAAGGAACTAGGCAGCGATATGCAAATCAGTTGGCTATGGCGACGACAATGATGGCCGCCACTCAATTATGCGCCGCTCAGGAATGGCGTCCGTTGCCTACTTTCAGGCGCACACCAAAAAAAAAATAAAAAGTATGAGGAAAACGCTTTTCGATTTACCCGCGCTAACAGCTGTTGGCAGGGCCCAAAGTTTCCCATTTTTTTTACCCCAAGGGGCCCGTGGGAGACTAACTGATTCGATGGGAAAAACACATTTCAATTTGTGCCCCTGGAATCCCCTTTTTTCGGGTGAGGCGCAACGGCAATCCCCCTTTTGGCCCATGGGAAACACGTCAAAGAGTTTTACTCGGCCAACAGGTGTTCCAATTGTTTTGAGCTTGTGGGCCTTCGTGTCGGCGGTATTTTTAGTTTGAAAGGCTCATTAAATTTTTAATTAGCGAAATTAGGGGAATGTGTTGCTCACGGATGTCGGGGGACCCTTGATGGATCCAAGTCGGTTTCATTTCATTATTGATGTCCGGTAAGTGTGCTTTCGGCGACGCAGAAATGTTGCTAGTTCCTGTCGCTCCGGGGACATAAAGTTACAGGTGGCAGGACAATGTTTCGAGCCCGGAATAGTTAACAGAACTCTACCTGGCATTGACATCCTAAAAATAACCATAGCCTGCGGCTTTATGTCACATCACATTTATTAACCTGTCTAATTATCATATAAATGGATGGCCAGGGACCGGGAGCTTAATATATAACCGGAAATTACCATGCGTGTCCCTGGCTTAATACCTTTCATTTTCTTCTTCGGAGCGGAAGCGATGGAAATTAGGCGATATAAAATGGTTAAGTTAATCAAGGAGCCAAAGCCTGCGATAAGCAGGTGAGCTGAACGGAAGCAAATTACCTCTAATAAAGATGTTAATTGTTTGGCCCTTCCCTCTGTAATATTTGTAGTGCGAAATAATATATTTTTTTTACAGGGGAAACTGGTTTAATGAATTATTTTTGTGATTCCCTTATGAGGGCTCCTTTTCTTATGATATAAATAAACTTGAGAAATTTAAGTTCTGATAATCTAAGCTCTAAATTGTATAATTAAAGTTTTATTTTATTTATTGTATTAATTTTTGCATTTAGAAAATGTATTAAATGTCAGAATAGGAATTTTAAATTTAAATACTTTATTTATAAGTTAAATAACACGAAAGAAAGCTATCTTCGGAAAGCCTAAATTGTTATACCCTTGCAATAGGAAAACCATCATAACTAAGCCAAAAATGCATTAATTTCAATTCGAAAAGCGTTCCCATTTTAGTTTTTATCAGGCTAACAAATTTGCATACTCAATTTAAAATTTAAAAAAATTTAAAATTTTGCCAATTTTTGACAATTTTAATGATGTAACCCCTTATAAAAATTTCAATTTTCGAAAAAATTTTAAAATTTTAGTTTTTGTCCGGAGATGGCTAGATCGATTGCTGTTGATGCTGATCAATAATATATATGAATTATAGGGTCAGAAATAATTCCTTCATTGTGTTACGAGCTAAAATTATAAAACCCCACGTAGGATTAAAAATAAAAATCTTTAACTTAGTAAGATTATTTATTTAGTTCTCATCAAAAGCTGGGGACAATTTTAATTATAAAAAAATAAGTAATTAATCAATCAAGCTTTAAATAGCATTGCAAAATCAATAACATCATAATAACTCTGAATTTCTGCTGCTTTTTTTATAATTTTGACCAACAAAGGGCTCGATTATGCAACGAGTGCTAACAATCAATTATAGATACTCATTATGCCACTCATTGCGTACTCCACAGCATTTATTTTTTTGTCATCTTTTGTCGCAGAGAAACTTTTTGTTCGACTTTATAATTGACGATGTTCGGCAAAAGCGTCCAGCAAATTATTTATGAAAATGCCGGGCCCGCTATAGAAACCTAATAACAATAATATTGCTGATTAAGCATTAATCAAAGCAACAGCACGGAGAGCGCAGCATAAGCAAAAAGAAAACAGAAAAGTTATATAGAAAATAAAAACAAACACAAGACAATAGGTAATAAGCAGCTGGAGAAAAGGGAAAGTGATCCGATCCGAATAAACAATGCAAAATTTTATAAAAGTTAAAGCTGGCCAGTGAGCATCGTCAGCACGCCTTAATTATGGAAAGAGCTTGAAACGATATGGATTTTTAATTTAGCCTTTAGAAACGAAAATAAAACACACGGCGGCAACTTCGAGCTGTTTGTCAACTGATAACCGGCCGCTGATAAGGCCCAAAACCATTTTCCCATTTTCACACAACCCACAAGAGATAGAGAGAGAGAGAGAGAGAAAAGCTTGCCGGCGAAAGCTTTTCCCTCTCTCGGCCTTGGCATTGGTTCGGTTTTCCACTCGGGTTCGGGCGGGTTCGCTGTTGGCCACAGCTGATCCGTCTTGGCCAGATGTTGGCTCGAAATCACAAGCCCCAAAACCAGGCAGAAGCCTCAGTTGTTCGGCGGAGGTTAAGGCGAGCGGTTCGTCATCGGAAGTGGCTTTAAAAATATATATAAATTAAATCGAATTCTAGCGGCAGTTAAGCGATTTTGTGTGCTGTGACCAATGCGATTTATTTTTGTGGACAATAGTGAAATTTAGCCAATGAAAATTGCTCTTTGTGAGCGAGAAAACCGTAAATACTGGTTAGTAATGCTCAATGGAAATTACAATAAAAAAGCAACATAAAAAATATATATATAAAACAATAGAACAATATTAAAACCATCAAAATAAAAGCAGTAATAAAAAACAACATTTAAGAGGACTATAAATTCAAGTCATAATATAATCATTCTGTAATATAGTTCATGAACAATTATATTTAATATGAAAAATAAACACGATTTTTCTATAAAAGTGTAAAGTATCATACAAATAATTATCCTAATTAGAAAAATAATATATTTCTTTTAAGAAGAAGATCTCAAAAACCAGATTGTTAACGAAAGATATTTTCCAGTCTTATAAATATTTCAAGCAATATACAATGCCTTACTTCTTCCTATTTTCGATTAATTTAAATTACACTAAATCCCCATTAAATAATAGTATTTTAACCAAAATTCGATGGTATTTAAACTTAATTTTTTGTGAAATATTTGAAAACTAAATCGTAATTATTAAAATACCCTAAAAGAGATTTTAATCACACTTCATTTAAGCACTTCTGCTAATCAATCTTCTAAAACTTAAACCCTGTTTGTGCTTCTGTACCAACAGCAACACTTGCATTTTCCCTCACGTTCCATCGCCCAAATAGCTCCCCGACTGACACACATTTGATGAGAACAAATACGAAACTTAAATAAATCAACCGAAAATAATGTCAACGAAATCAATGGCGGGCCACGGCAGCTGCAACATGTTGCTGCTGCTGCTGTGCCTGTTGCTATTGCTGCCGGCAGCATTGCTGGCGATACCCAAGAACAGCAACAATAACATCATCAACAATGCGGCGACATCGACAACCGCAACAGAAACAGCGGCAACAACCACAACTATTGGCAGCAACAATGCCATGGCCAATGCCAATGCCAAGGCTGGCAGCAAATACGGTGAGTCCTACGAGCCAAAGAGATACTACCACCAAGCATTCAAGTTGCAGGGCCAGTTGGAGTTGCAGCAACCTAAAGTCACTGAAAGAAAACGAACTATTCTATTAACAAGAATTCTCGTTCATTAAATATTTAATGAAATAAGAAGGATATATCAAGAAAAGGGTTTTAAGTTGCCCTTCAAGTTCTTGCAAAATACTATTTTTTCCAGTGCAGTCTTCCCTGTTTGCCGCAGTCAGTTGCAGCCTGGCTAATTGCATTTGGTCACGATCGGATCGCTTTTTTTCCCTGAACCTAGTTATGTTCCTTGAGGTAGTTTCCCTATGTCTGCCCTTGGTAGCGAAAATTGTTCGAGTTGCAAAAAAAAAAAACAAAAGACTTAGGGAGCGAACTTGTCCGGCGGGTGAATTTTTTTTTGTGTTTGTTTTTTCCTCTGTTCTGTGTGCCAATCAAGTGGGAAATGTGCCGACATTTCCTTCGGGCTGCTAAATGGGGGCGCTGGCACGCCCAGAACCGCAGAGCGGAAATTGCCGCGGAGATCTTTGATGGAGAGCAAAAGTGTCATTAGAGCGCGGCAAAATGCCAGTAATTGTTAGGCTTACACACACACATGGTACAAACAAAAAACGCTCTCTTTCTCTCTGGCTTTAATCGAATTAGTTAAAGCACAGCAATTACATCACGGGCGGTGACAGATCAAGATCGGGATCGAGATCTAGCCAGATGAAAGGCAATTTGTCGAATCGAACAGATATTATGCCACTTCCCGGGGCGGTTCGCAATTAAAGAGTCGGTGATTCTGGGGAGGCAAAGATTGGAAATGAATGGATCCCAGACCGGGTGTGAGTTCTCCTCCGCTTCCTTCCCGTCTTACATAACCCGCAGTGATGTGGCATATCCAAATATTAGTGCCCCGTCATCGATGGACTTCCCAAGATCAAAAGCTGCAGGTGAAATTGTCATTAATCAATGCGATGCTGCAACTGAGATGCAGTGGAGGAATACCTGTCATCATTCGTGGCATTTTCTAATCAGTTGTTGGTTTTTTTTTTGGTTCAAATGCAATGGCATCTCCACATAGCCCCGATGTCAGAATTTGTGCCATGGCAGAATTTTCACTTTTCCATGTTCTCTGTGTGAAATTCGCCTAAAAATGTGGCTGAATGCCGCCATGATGCACACACAAAATCGGTGTCAATGATTTCAACATGGGAAAAGCAGCCGAAGCAACACGAAGCTGCAACATCAGCAAATGGCAGCCTCAGCAACATGTGCAACATGTGCAACATGGGCAACATGGGCAACATTGGTCACATAAACCACCGACGAGAGCCTCGCCAGGCATTGGCAAATGGCATTTCTAATTGCGGATTATGCAAGGTTCTTCTGGCACAGAAGAAGTCACCAAAGTTGGCTTGGGAAATTGCCTGGAAATCGGGGCTAAGTGGCTACGGAAAATTGTAAATTAACAATGTTTCGATGCGGTGATTAATGGGTAATTGTCCAGGAATTGATTGTTTGCTATGAACATTATAAAATTGTATTCATTTAGAATGCGAAATAATTTCCAAACTTAATGCCAAGTACTTAACATAATTTAATATATTACAGTGCTTGGCCAAAGTGCTTAATGGTAAACTGGAGTGCAGCACAGTTTCTCACGAGTTTCTTTAGAGATTTTGCACCAATGACCGAAATAAATCAGAGTTAAGAGCCTTCATGCTGCCATTTTATGCAACATTCTTGCTCCTTAAGCTGCAGCAGCACTTGAAATCATTTGCTGAGCACCATGTTCACTTCAGTCTTAGCCAGGCATACTTGAGTATCGCCCCAACCCCATTTACCCATCCCATTACCCGCCCAGCATCATCGCCCAGGTCTAGTTTTTTATTCCACCTTAACTGCCAGCTCCCCTTGGCTAATTCACGTCACACTTTGAGTCAGATCCTCCATCACTTGCAACTTGAAAAAGTGGAAAACGTCTTGGACTCCAACTGCCAGCACACTTCAGCCTATTGTACACGGGAAAGAAAAGGTTGCACGGGTTGCGTTATATATGTTATATTAAATATATTATAGTCAGAGGAACCACAGACTTAATTCTTTAATATTCCTAGAAGACAACTCCAATAAGTATCCCTAATTATTCTGAGAAAGCTTTCAGTCATGTGATCTTTCGCGTCTGCATTTCTCCAAGTGCAGATCTTTAGCTGACAGTGGGAACAACCACTTAGAGTTGGCCACAAAAAAAAAAAACGACCAAATGAAACAGAACTAATCCAAAAGCGTGTCTGACTGCGGCGGGAAACGAGTTCTTTGCCCCCAAACTGAATGCACTGCACTGCACTGAACTGCTGGTAACTAAGTAACCATGGTAGCTGATTTGCATGCAAGCAGCGCCTTAGACTCCAGCTCTTTAACTCCAACTCCCAGTGCCACTGCCACTGCCATTGCCACGAATCTTGGCTATAACCCCGTTTTCCCGTTTGTGCCCATGCTCATGCTTTTGTAACCTTCGATAGAGATACGCGGCGTCGCCGGTGAACCAAATTACAAATCGGTGAATCTGACCTGGGAAGTTGAATTCGTGCCGTCGGCCCATGACACAGATTCGAGTGGTGGCAGTAGCAGCAGCTCCAGCTCCAGCTCCAGCTCCAGCTCCAGCTCCAGCTCCGGCTCCAGCTCCGGCCCAACTCCAGCTCCAGCTTGAGCTCAGCGACAAATATGAGCGGCAATGTGGAACCGCCCCGGGCATTGGCATTCCAGATCTTCTACTGCGAGATGCAAAACTATGGCCCACAGCGTTGTCGTGTCAAATTGGTCAATGGCACTGCCGCCGAGGTATCCCTGGAGGAAAAGGAAGAGCAGGGACAGGACCAGGAGGAGCACGATCCCTTAGGGTAAGTTGTACTACCTTAAGCGGCAAAGTGATTGGAAAGAGCTTTCCCTCTGCACTTCCTAAGAAGGAGTTTTTAATGAAGTTTTACAAGCACTGGGCTGATTTAATAAAATAAATCTAAATAAATAAACAGAAGTTAGTAGTCACTAAATAAACTATTTGTTTTCTTATCCCTTAATTTAGTCCCCAAATTCAGCACTTTGCTGCCGCTGTGGATAACCTTCGAATGGCCACCAGATATAGTTTCCACATTCGTCCAGCCGCCCAGAGACGCCTCCAGGCGAGCGGAACTCGCAGTTCCAATGCCCGAGCCGAGTTTCATGACGAGAATGAGATCGAAAGTGGATCTGGACACTTGCCAGGCCAGAGCATTATCATACCCACCAAGGGCTGTAAGTAAACTGAAATCATTTTTAAATTTTAATTTATCTTCATCGCAACTTCCGGTTTTCTTTTTGGGCGGAAACGGCAGTTAATTTATTGTAACATTTCCAAAAATGTATCATAACTGTATCTAAAACGTTGTATACTTCTTATTTACACTTGAAATGAAAATTAGTTTGAAAAGTGAAAGCGTATTAATTTGAAATCAAATTAGAAATTAAAGCAAAGCATTTGTATGCAGATCGTCTTTAGGCGTGGAAAATCTTTAAATAAGATTAAATTTAAATAAGGTAATCGATATTCATACTTTTCTCAATTTGAATGGTTAGTCTTATTACAAGACTTGAACTTAGTATTTATTTATTAATTAAAATTACATTTGTTTTTATATATTTCCCAGTCTCCGCCCATGCCACCCAGTGCCTGCCTCATGCCTCGGAAATCGAGGTGGAAACAGGTCCATATTTTGGTGGTCGGATTGTCGTGGATGGTGGCAATTGTGGCGTCAAGGGTGATGCCAGTGATTCCGCAGACAAGTATACCATGAGGATTGACCACAAGGAATGCGGCAGCTTGGTAAAACCAGAGACCAACACGGTGGAAACCTTCATCACAGTTCAGGAGAATCTGGGCATCTTTACACACAGCACAAGACGGTAAATATTATATGAATTTATGATTAAAAAATTAAAAGAAGATTAAAATTTTAAGAAGAGGAAAACCTTTTAAATAACTTTAAATATAAGTTAAGTAATAAGTTTTTTATGGTTGTTTTTCACAACTCCCTTCCACCTTAGCTTCGTGGTGGTCTGCAGCTATCAGTCTGGAATGCAGACAGTCCGTGCAAGCTTCACTGTACCGGGTAAAAGTGGAGTAGCCGCTGCCTATGAGCCCAACGATCCCTTCGAACCGGACGAGGACCAGCGTCTGGGCAGGGAGCTCCGCCAGATGCGATATGTCAACAAGACCGAGCTGGTGCTAAAAGAACCCGAGTCCGAGGCTCAAACTGATCCCGAATCCGACTCCGAAGAGCAGGCCACAGTGGTGGAGGAGACCCAGCCACCATCTCCCTCCACGGAGCAGGCCTCTCCTCAAAGAGGAGGACAGGGCAGGGCCCTAGACTTCAACGAGGTAAACAATTTGGCAGAAGAGCCAGCGGTAGGACGTCACCTGGAGCCTGTGGTGGGCACTAAGTACGCCAAACTGGTTGTGGATCAGGCTCACAGCTCCTGGATGCCCCTTGAGATGGGTTCGCCACCCAGTGGGAACGATGAGGATAAAGGTAAGTGGCCTGTCAAAACGACAGTCGTGATTCTTTGGTGTCCAAGATTTACACTTAACTAATCGAGACATAAATATGTTTTAAGCTGTATTACATTTTTTAACATAACTTTTTTAAGCCTTTGAGTTTTATATAAATCTTATTTTTCTTGTGGAAAAAGGTATTAGATTTAACTTAAAATAGCTAGGTAGTTAATTATATATTTTCTTATATGTTTCCCGATTTTTTTCGTGCAGCTGTTTTGCGTTATATTAGCTCCCATCTGAGCAGCGTGCTGGTAACCGTCTCGCTATCTGTGATAATCATCAGCATTTGCATCATATTGCTGCATCGCCAGCGGATCCGTTCCTCCTCCCGTGGATGCCGCCCCCCGCCAATGGTCGCCCACCTGCCCCACAAGACGCTGCCGCGTGCTCTGCAGCAACAGCAGCAGTATCAATGCACCTTGTAGGTGCATCTCCACTTCCCCAGAACCCACTCCTCCTCCAACTTCCTGCTATGCCCACTTGTCTTGCTGAATGCCCAAGAGAGAGATACAGACAGACATGGGACATCACCATTTAGCTGAAGATGACTGGGCATAGATGACTCCGTCCACCGTCGCCTCCATCTTAACCAGGCAACTCCAACGGTACCAGCGGGATCAGCATCCCCAAAAACAAAAATTTACATAATTGTGAACTCGACTTGGACTCTGGCCGAGCTTTAACTGTGCAATCACGAGGAAGCGCACACCCGGACAGAGTCACTTCTCATAGAGCGAGATTAGATCGTAGAGTCCTAGATTTACGAATTTTGTATAAATTATTTATGCCCAGAAAAGAAATATATATATATATTTATAGATACTTAAAGATGTTATTAGAATTTCTTAACAGTTACTAAAGGGATGAAATATGATTTAGGTAAGTTAAAAATAAGTAAATTATAAAGAAATCACATACAAATAGGGATTTAAGAACAGGATACCCTGTATATAATATTTAATTTACTCTTAGAGGGTTTTATTTTCTTAGTCTAACGTTTCCAAAAATTTCTCCTAACTTCTTGGTAACAAAAAGTCTGTCAATAGGTCAATTACCAAAAATAGAAGTCCGCCTTGGACAAATTTCCACTTCCGCCGTTAAAGCTTGCGAAAATTTCGACTCCAAAACTCTCATCATCATCATCATCATCAGAGGTCTCTGTCAGAGACGATTACAAATTATTCGGAAATAGGTTCTTAACGATTCCATGAGAAGTACAAACGAATGTTGAATGTGTCGCCACCGAAAATTACGAAATTATGTTAAGACGTCTGTTTGTTGTCAGACAGCGATTTGCATGAAAGTGGCACACACACAACACACACCATATTTTTTTTAGGGCCCAAGTTCTGCCCCACGAACGGAAGCCGGCAGATAAAAAATAAAAAATAAAACATGAAACAGAAGGCCCGACCAGAGGCATAAAACTGCAGTTGAAACCAGGAGGGGTATGTCTTGTTACCACTGCTGCCGGTTGCCCAACATGGGAACTCCACGAGACCAAGTCCCGAGTCCCCAGTCGAAGTTGCAATATTGAAACCAAAACCAAAACCAAAAACCGAGACTCCATTTGGCTGGGACGTGCCCACTTTGAAGCCACAGCGAAAGGCGTTCTGGAAACTTTCTGATTGAAGTGCCTGGACTTGGGGCTAGCTCGATTTTGCATAGAAAAGCCATTAGGTTGGGATTTTCATCATCATCGTAGTCGTAGTCGTCGTCGTCATCAGATACAAAAGGTTTGTCTGGCCTTTTGTTTGCCCCGTTTGCCGGGCTACGAGTATTATTAGAACACAAAAAACCAAGTGAGCGTTAAGATCGCGTTTGCTAAAAACAAAAAAAAGGAAAAGAAATAGAAAACAAAATACTAAATAAACAAACTTTCTCATCTGCAAGTTAGACCACACTCAGGAAAAAGTGATACTAAGGTATTAAAGGTTAAACTTTAATTTGAAAAAGAGAAATATATAAACAGCAAGATAACAATATAGATACTTCTTAACTTAATCAAATCTCTCGTGAATATATTCCATTGAGGTTTTATTGCTATTAATAGAGTATATAATATATACTATAAGTTAAAAGCGGAACAGATTTGTTAAGAATCAAAGCTATTATAATGCAAATAAGACTTCAGCTGACAAAATACAAAAGATAACTTTCTCGTCTCCTAAGCACACTGAACTATTAATTTATGTATACCTTTACCTCCGTTTTAACCAAGTTAAGAATATAAAATATATATAAAATTTTTTTAAATTATATAAACTAATGAATTAATTAAGGACAATGTACTTTCTTTTGCAATATTTTTCTTCTTGTGCATCTTTGATCTTCAAGAATCCGCGACCAAGTCCAAGCCTTTGCCTTCACCTTCACCCATTTGAATGGGCAACACCATTACACCACCGCACCACTGCACCACTGCACCACCGCAAACCACTGGCGGCTGCTCAAATTTCCAGTTTCACCCACTGTGAGCGTCGCGTTTTGACGTTGATTAGCATGTGGCATACATAAATCTTTGAGATTTAGCTTCCGTTTCCCTTCTGGAACGCACTCTCCAGATGGCAGCCGACAGATTGCTTAGGAGAGCATAACGCTGCAGTTTCTAGACCCTCAAAAGCCGACGGGGAGTCACTCATACAGACAGTATATAAACTATAGACTATACTATGGACCTGTGCATAATGGGGCCAACGATCTTGGCCAAGAAGCCGGGCGAACAACTTAATGAGCCAACGCCACCACCACCTCTGTTTGGGGATTAGAATGCGAGCAGCGGCTGACGAAGACGAAAGTAAAATCGAGTCGTGAAAGTTTTCATTTCTTCTTGCCAAAAAGGCAGGAGAATTAAATGTGTTTCGAGATCATTTTTCTTTCTAGGTAAACAGTAAAAAAAAGGTTAAAAATAATAATACAATTAACATAAATGGATGCATTTTAACTGGATACATAGAATATATTAAGGCATTAAGCGGATAGAAGAACATGAACTATACATCATATTATTCATTTATTATATATTGTAAACTTCTTTAATGTATAAACTGACTTACCTTCCTCTTCTAAAATATATTTCTTTTAAATTTCAAATTAAACTTTAAATAATTTTTCCTACGTGTAAGCATATCGAGATCACTTTTTCTCCTTTTCGCTGGGATAATTAACGTTCATCAGAGATGATCAAACGCAGCTGGAAAGCGTTTCCTAGGGGTAATTACCCTAACCCCTCCTTATTCTCTCCTCCTCCATTTTACATCTAATTATTTGCGATTTGAACTCGAGATTTGGATTTGTGTCAGGGAGATGGCAGAGATCTGTGGCATCCAGGGTGCATCTGTGCGAGGTGGAAGAGAGAACTTGCAACCAAATGTTGGGCCCCCAAACACAACATCTGGGTTATCTTTGGGCAATAATCGTGATCTGGCAGAACCACAAAAAATGGAACAGCGTTGGCTCATTGTTTTTAGCCATCATCAGCGGACGTTCTGTTTTTGGTTTCTGTTTTGTTTCCGAACTCAGATTCTGGGCTAATGACAGTCGCACTTTTTAATGATTATTATTATGAATTATGTGTGGTTTTTTATTTGGTCGAGGGGACAGTGAAGGGGGAAAACGTAGAATTGGTGTCAAATTGGGGAATTGTTTGCGGCTCGAAATGGGAAAATTGATGTGGTAAAGGGGTTAAACACCATTTTGGCCAGATTTTGCTGAAAGCTTTTGATTTATGAGCATGATGTTGGGGAATTTGCTTTGAAAGAGACTATATTTATTTTAAATTATATTAAAAAGTCATTAAATGTGAACCTCTTTAAAGAGAAGTATTAAAATATTTAATTTATATTATAGCTACATACTCTTCACACAAAATCCTAGAATTCCCTAGACAAGTTCATCAGAGTTCAAACGATTAAGCCCTGAAATGGTTATGGCTTTATGCAGAAGCTACTCTACCGAAACGGGTCTTTAGCTCTGTGATTTCTCGATGACATCACCGGTAAAATACCCTTTTAATTCAAGAGAAGACAAGCCGACATTGGCATGACTATAACCATTATGCAGTGACTATATAAAGTGTAACTACAGCAGTTCTGTCCGCCTGCTGGATGCTTGGAACATAATTTAGCGTAAATAAAAAAAGAAAACCTGCTGTTTGGTTAATTTTCTTTTCAAACTTCTTGGCAATTCCCCTCACGCACCGCTAAGGAGGTACCAAAGTAGAATAACAAGTGGCAGTGCCCAGGCCCAGATCAAAAAGTCCAGGCTAAAACCACAAGTCTCAAGGCTTGTGCCTGGTTATGGCTCTAAAGCACTGAAGAAAATGAAGGGGATTGGGAAATAAGATTATAATTTATAGAAATGGCGGGTTTCCTTTCAATGCTTAATACAATTCAAGGAAAGGAAAATGAATGGAAAATTTGTATTTAACATTAGTTTTAATATCTCTGTATATATTTTTTGTGTGCACTTTGATGTATGCACCTGCTGTGGCCATTGCTGTTGTTGTTTCTCTGGCGATTTCCTGCATCGCTGCATGCAAGTTATGTCTCTATCAAGTTTAGAATTTGTATCTGACGCCGCGGCCTGCAGAATTCGCAGCGCAACTTGATGTATGGATGCAGTTGAAGCGCAACGGTTGCCGCAGCCAAGTCCAAGTACAAGTACAAGTGCAAGTTCAGCTGAAACAGCAGCAGCAACATTTGCCACACCAACTTGCAACTTGCAACAGCAACTGTGGCAGCCGGTATTGTAACCGTAACCAGCCCATTCCCATTCCTATTCCCAATCCCAATCCGATCCCGAATCGTTCTCGGTGTCGCAATGCGTCGTAACTTTGTAACAACTTAAGTATAGTCGATCTTAAGATACTCTTTAACTTAATATAAATTTTCACTATTGTAAAGGTATTATTCATTATTTTACTGTACTTACTTCAGGTAATATATTTTAAATACAACTATTTAGTTCGTGATTCCATAATTAATAAACTTATTCTGCTGGCCCTTTTGAGGTATACCTATTATACCTAAATAAAGTCATATCTCCCTTATCACTTAATAATTATAGAACATATTTGAACCATATTCTGAATTCTGAAAGTAATTAATATATTTCTTATCTATTTAGTTTTGAATAATCTTACATAGGTATAAAGAAAACATTCTTATGCAACAAGTTAGTACCTGAAGTTGTGATATTTTTGAGGCCATCAGTTTAAATACCAGTTTCATGCTCTTTGCGGGCCTTTTTCAAACTACGCTTTTGGCCATCGCACATTTTTAAGCACATTTTAAAGTCTTTTTGTTGTGCTTGTCTCGTTTTTCTTTGAGTGGCTTTTGCCGCATCCCAAGGCGAGTTGAAGCCATCCCATCGCAAGCCATACTATCCAATACCGACCGACCCAACCTGGCCCACTCCCATCGAA